TCCAGTTAAGTTTCATGACACAAGATTGAATGCATTTTGAGTTACGTGCAACGCAAGTTGAAAAGGGTAAATTTTTACGAAGTCAAGGGCAGTGACTCTCAAAATACTAAACATATCCACATCATGACATGAATATATCCAGGTGCACAACTACACATGCTGATCAACATTACTGTAAAGTTTCATGACTCTAGGTCAAATACTTTTTGAGCTACATGTGACACAAATTGAAAATTGCAAATATTTACTAAGACAAGGGCAATAACTCTTAACAAAACAGAATAAATCCATGAGCGAAACCCTAGGTGCACAACTACACATGCTGAGCAACATTCCTGTAAGGTTTCATGACTTTAGGTCAAATACTTTTTGAGATATGTGCGACACAAGTTGAGAATTGCAAGTTTTTACTAAGTCAAGGGCAATAACTCTAAAAATACTAAATATATCCACACAAAAATACCCAGGTGCACAACTACACATGCTGATCAACATTCCTGTAAAGTTTCATGACTCAAGGTCAAATACTTTTTGAGTTACGTGCGACACAAGTTGAAAATTATAAATTTTTATGCTGATCAACATTTCTATAGTTTCAGGTGCATATATATGTGGAGGAATATGGTTATGTGTAGATATGTGTATGTATAATGTTAGTTAAGATTTTGGAAGTATAATATTGTTTGTATTGTTCTCTGTACATGTGTCAACTATTTTGTTTATGGTTGAAAGCTGTTTGTAAATACTTGTAATAATTTCAATGGTCATACAGCAATTTAAATTGCCTCCCTTACAAAGATTATTATTAGATAATTACTTTTTCTTGCCATTATCTTATTATCTTATGAAATTATCTTATCTTGGAACTTTTCATTGACACACATCTTTTGGTATGCTTTATTGTTTTTTTGGTTTTTGGTCGTTTTTTTGTTTTGTTTTGTTTTTTTTGTTGTATTTTATTCTTTACCCTGTTTTAAATGTGCCTTAAACTGATTACTCTATAATCACATCCTTTGCTGGATATGGGGTCAGGGACATCTCCAGCCTCCTATCTTATCAATATACTGATTAAGAGGGTGGCTAGTATTGTCCCCGGCACCCTGGGGCGCCCTGCTTTGGCAGAGAGGAAAAGTGCTTGCATTTTACGTTGCCAGGGAGGTGCTCTGGTTGATTTCAGGGCCCCTTTCCCAGCCCGGTGGTTATTTAGTTTATTTTATTGTTGTAATCAAAACATACTGAAATATGCAATTTAATTAATCACAGTGAATGCTTATGGTTTCCGGTACATTTATTATTAAGAAAAGTGAGAAAAAAATATATTGATATAAATGAAAAGAAAATACAGTAACATATTTTTGCACCATTCATTTATATTTAACACAACTTTTACTATCTTTTTTTTTTTCTCTTATTTTTTGCAGTAAAGTGTAATTTTTTTATATGCCACCATATTACACTATGTTTTTGAGGTCTGTATGTTTGTTTAAACTGTCCCACTGGGTATATATATTTAACTTAGTCAAGTGTAATGTTTATATGTATTTTAGATATAATGATGAATGTTTTTTTGTAAAAATTAGCAATGAGTAATCTTAAAATTTTCTCTTACAATTGCCGTGGTTTAAATGACAGCATCAAGAGGCGTGATGTTTTTAATCTATTTCATACAAAATATGCTGATATACTTTGTCTGCAAGAAACACATTTTATTAAAGAATTTGAAAAGAAAATTTATTCTGAATGGAATGGCTTATGTTATTTTAGTCATTGTAAATCTAATGCAAAAGGTGTGGCCATTTTATGTAGAAAAGATTTAGATATTAAAATAAATTTTGTTAAAACTGATGACTCTGGAAGTTTTATAATGTTAGGTATTTCATTGGATTCCATAAATTTTACATTAGTTAATATATATGCACCAAATACAGGATAGTCCTAGTTTCTTTAGAAATTTTTTTTTTTTTTTTTTTTTGGGGCCCCAAATTTTTTTTTTTGGGGGTTTTTTTTTTTTTTTTGGTTTTTTTTTTTTAGAAAAAAAATTTAAAAAACCCCCCCCCGGGGGGTTTTTTTTTTAAAAAAAAATTTTGGGAAAAAAAAAGGGGAAAAAAAAAAATTTTTTTTTTTTTTTTTTTTGGGGGTTTTTTAAAAAAATTTTTTTAAATTTTTTAAAAAATTTTTTTAAATATTTTTAGATTAATTTTTTAATTTTTTTTAAATAAAAAAAAAAAAAAAAATTTTAAAATTTTTTTTTAAAAAAAAAAATTGGGAACCTTTTTTTCCCAAAATTTTTTTTTAAAAAAAAAAAAAAAAAAAAAATTTTTTTTCCCCCCAAAAAATTTTTTAAAAAGGGGGTTTAAAAAATTTAAATTTAAAAAAAAATTCCCCTTAAAAAAAAAAAAAGGTTTTTTAAAAAAAATTTTTTAAAAAAAAAATTTTTTTTTTTTTTAAAAAATTTTTAAAAAATTTTTTTAAAGGGGAAAAATTTTTTAATTTAAAAAAAAAAGGGGTTTTTTTAAAAAAATTTTTTAAAAAATTTTAAAAATTTAAATTTTGGGGGAAAAAAAAATTTTTTTTGGAAATTTTTTTTTAAAAATTTTTTTCCCGGGGCCCCCCAAAAAAATTTTTTTAAAAAATTTTGGGAAAAAAAAAAGGGGGGGGTTTTTAAAAATTTTTTAAAATTTTTTAAAAATTTTTTTTTGGGTTAAAAAAAAAGGGGGTTTTAAAAATTAAATTTTTTTTTTTCCCCCATCCTTTTTTAAAAAAAAATTTTTTTTTTTTTTTTGGGGGGTTTTTTTTTGGAAAAAAATTTTAGTTAAAGGAAAAAGGGCCCCTTTTTTTAAAAATTAAAAATTTTTTTTTTTTTAAAAAAAATTTTTTTTTAAAAAGGGGTTTTTTTAAAAAATTTTGGGGAAAAAAATTTAAAAATTTTTTGGGGTTTTGATTTTGAAAAATTTTTTAAAAAAAAAAAATTTTTTTTTTTTAAATTTTTTAAATTTTTTTTTTTTTGGGGGGAAAAAAAAACCCAAAATTTTTTTTTTTGGGTTTTTTTTTTTAAAAAAAGGGGGTTTTAGAAAAGGGCCCCCCCCTTTAAATTTATTTTTGGGGGAAAAATTTTGGGTTAAAAAAAAAAAAAAATTTAAAAAGGGAAAAAATTTTTTTTTTGGGGCCCCAAAAAAATTTTTTTTAAAAATAAAAACCCTTAAAAAAAATTTTTAAAAAAAATTTTTTTTTTTTAAAAAAAAAAAAAATTTTTTCCCCCCCAAAAAAAAAAAAAAAAGGGGGGGGTAAAAAAACCCCTTTAAAAAAAATTTTTTAAAAATTTTTTAAAAAAAAAAAAATTTTTAAAAAAAAAAAAAATTTTTAAAAAAAAAAAAAAAACCTTTTTTTTTTAATTTTTTTTTTTTAAAAATTTTTTTTTTTTAAAACCAATTTTTTTTTTTAAAAATTTTTTTTAATTTAAAAAAAAAAAAAAAAAAATTTAAAAAAAATTTAAAAAAGGGGGGGGGGGGTTTTTTTTTTTTTGTTTTTTTTTAAAAAAAAATTTTTTAAAAAAAAGGAAATTTTTTAAAAAATTTTGGTTTTTTTTTTTTTTTAAAAAAAAATGTATTGTATGTCAATTAATAATAAGATTAAGAATGCTTTCTGGATTGATGTTTTGAAAGCTTACATGATCTTTGTTGATAAACTTTGTATAGATAACTTCGAACAAATATTACATATGCCACTGTTTTACAACCATTGCTTTTCTATAGGACATAGATATATCTACATTAAATCTTTTTATGACAAAGGAATAAGATTTGTGAAAGATATTCTTAATGAACAAGGTGATTTTATTGAGTTGAATCTTTTAGAACAATGTATAGGCAAACAAGTTAATTTTTTAGAATATCATGGTTTAAAACAGGCTATAAAATCTTACATGCTAAGCTAAATATTACCATTAATACTGAGTTGCTAAATGTTCAATATCCTATTGTAAACTGTTTTATCAAACCTATTATTATTACAAATAGCAATAAGAAATACCTGTATGAAACTTTTGTTAAAAATACAGATGTACCAACAAGTAAGGAAAAATGGAACACATACTTTATAGATAATAATATAAACTGGCCACTGATATATAGTTATGTATTTAAATGTACCAAAGATTCATACATTCAGTGGTTTCAGACTAGAATAATTCACAGAACTTTAGCAACAAACTCAATGCTGTTTAAAATGAAAATGGTTGATAATAAAATGTGTACTTTCTGTAACTGTCAAGAAGAAACACTTATACATTTATTTTGGGAATGTCAAAAAATTTAGTCTCTCTATTTCAATATTTGCAAAGTAACATACATAATTTTGACAATATTTTCAACTGTAAATCTTTTATTTTAGGTTCTGAAGATAAGGACTTCGAATATGATATATTGTTTTTAGAATTGAAAAAATACATATATTTGTCTAAGAGAAAAAAATTGTTACCCACATGCATTGGCTTTAAAAATAGCCTTAAATTAGCCTGGACTATTTACAAAAATACCAATTTGACTGACACTGAAATTAAAAGATGGCAAATTGTAAGATTATTAATCGAATAAATTACACTGACATTCTATATTTATGTTAGGTTCTCTTTTGTTTACTTACATACATGTGTAAAATATACTATTTGTATGCTTTAATTATAATGTTAATATGATAAAATTTAAGGTATATTATGATCTTTTGTTTGTAAATATTACAATGTGTTATACATGTATAATTAATGTAAGGTATGGGGGGATGACCCCGACCCTCTCATACCTATTACGGGGTGAATAAACGGGGTTACCCAGTTGGGGCCTCAAAGTTAAAAAACAAAACAAAAAAAAACAAAAAAAAAAACATTTCTATAGTTTCATGACTCTAGGTCAAATACTTTTTGAGCTACGTGCACCATAAAAGAGATCGGATGGATGGACAAGGGTAAATATTAATCCCCCCCCCCCCAAGTGGGGGCACAATTATATAGAACTTGGACCAAGTGGTAAGTTCACAAATGTTTAAAACATTTTATAATATAAGGTTTCATGACTTTCAAAAATTATATTTATTAGATCAAATGATGAATTATGCACAAAATCAAAACCAAAACAATTTGTCTCAACAAATAAGTTTAAAACTAACAAAGGTTTGCTTAGATAAAATCTACAAAGAAATACGATACCCAGAAATATTAACTAACAACATTAAGACATTATTATGTTCATATAACACATTATTACTTTGAAATTACATTAATTCTATGGGGCCAAATATTTAAGCTCTAGCTCTTTCGGTTTTCTAAAATTCTAATATAGGGGCCTCCATGGCCGAGTGGTTAAGGTCGTTGACTTGAGATCACAGGTCCCTCACCGCTTAAGGTTGGATCCTCTCTCGGGTCGAAATCTTTCATGTGAGGAAGCCATCCAGCTGGCTTACGGAAGGTCGGTGGTTCTACCCAGGTGCCCACTCGTGCCAGAAATTATGCCCGAAGGGGCACCTGGGGTCTTCCTCCACCAATAAAGCTGGGAAAAAAATTGACGAAAAAATTGGCGGGACGCTCTTAAGATGGCTCGACTTGAGTGTACTGTCGCCCATATGGGCTTTCCGGTGGCGACCTTAAATAAAACAAGCAAATTCGTTAAATTAATATCCCCAACCGAGTACTGGTCAATTATTACTAATACAACAACTGAAGACATAAGGTTTTATTTATATATTTATCATGGCATAAACAGTAACATTCTTTGAACTTGATAAATATTCATGGCAATAACAGAGCCATAACTCTTGTGTTAAATAGTAATATCTGAAAATGCCAATGAGATTTATGCATACTGCATAACTTATCAAGGGCCATAAATCTGAGTTATAGTGTCTGACCGGAACAAGGCGACTATATGCACATCTCCTCTTTGTATCCCATAAAGTTTCTTTGAATTCCAGCCAGTAGTTACAGAGAAGTAGCACGGAAACAATTATTGCTCTGGTTGTATACTGCATAACTTATCAAGGGCCATAACTCTGAGCTAAAAGTTTTTGACTCGAACAAGGCAATGATATGCCCATCTTCTCTTGGTATTGAAGGTTCCCATAAAGTTTTGTTGAATTCCAGCCAGTAGTTGCAGTGAAGTAGCGCGAAAATGATTTTTGCTCTATATGCATACTGCATAACTAAGCAAGGGCTATAACTCTGAGTTAAATTGACTGATCGGAACAAGGCGACGATATGCGCATCTCCTCTTGGTATTGAAGGTTCCCATAAAGCATTGTTGAATTCCAGCCAGTAGTTGCAAAGAAGTAGCGCTGAAACGATTTTTACTCTATATGCATACTGCATAACTAAGCAAGGGCCATACATGTAACTCTGAGTTAAAGTGTCTGACCGGAACAAGGCGACGATATGCGCATCTCCTCTTAATATTGAAGATTCCCATAAAGTTTCATGAATTCCAGCCAGTAGTTGCAGAGAAGTAGCGCGGAAACCATTTTTACTCTATATGCATACTGCATAACTAATCAAGGGCCATAACTCTGAGTTAAAGTGTCATACCAGAACAAGCCGACAATATGTGCATCTCCTTGTGGTATTGTATTGAAGATTCCCATAAAGTTTCGTTGAATTCCAGCCAGTAGTTGCAGAGAACTAGTCCGGAAACGAAATTCGGACAGACGGACATAAGGACGGATTTCTCACAGGACAGTAATTATGTGGCTGCTCTATTGTTCTCTCTATTGTTCTATTTAGCCACACAAAAGAAAATAGTCACATAAAAGCATTATGGAATGAATGACATCAAAGAGAAAGAACAGTTACCTATTGTCCCTCTAGCCACATAATTACTCTCCTGTGAGTGCGGACGGACGGAAAGACGGACGGACAACGCCAAAACAATATCCCCCGATCTATCGGCGGGGGATAAAAAATAAATAATTTTATGTATTACCTTGGTACAAAGTAGACATAATCATCCGGCCTTTCTCTCTTCCAGGCATAAACATTCTCTGTAGATTTTCGTGATCTTCAGTTGAAAACCTGTTAATACATGTTTTAACCCTTAGCTTGCTGGAACCAGGGGTATAGAATCTGACAAGTCTGCATATGTGTGCCGTCTGACCAAGCTATTGGCTGACTTACAAAACATTTTTATCCCAGCATAATTTGGAGCAAGACAAGTCCATTTAAGAAATTTAGCAGATTAAAGGTTAAAGTAAATAAAAGTGCATATCTATCAAGTTTTATATTCTATTTGTGTACAAGACTCTTTTAATAATATTCTAATAAATGAAATAGTTTTTTTTCCTGTTGTTTATCAAAAAGGTTATATTCTTCAAAATATTTTTAGTAATGAAATGTGAATATTGTAATACAGTTCAATAAGGTATAGCATTGAAAATTTGAAATACATACTGTGACAGTGTCAAAGCACTATACACATGATTTTGAAGGCATTTCTTGATATTTGAAAAAAAAAAGCGGTTACCAAAATCAGGCACACAAGGAAAATGGGCTTTAGAAAAAGACTTTACATGTCGATTCATTTCGCTGGTATCTCCTACGCCATCATCAACAAGACTGAAGACAATGTCTTTTTTATCACTCTATTATCCACATTATGTGTGATACAATCTATCTGAAAAATAGAGTATGCATAACTTTGACTTTTTGAAAAATAAGTGGGCTGAAGAAAATTTTCAACTCAACCTATAACTATGGAAAAAATATCAACTAATTATTTAAATTAGTTGCAATCCCAACCAGGATCTTCACTTAGTTGCTTTGTATAAAACAGAGAATTCCGCATAATGATGCTTAATACTAAGTTTGATTACAGTATCATAGTCTTAACTAATGTTATTGTCCGGAAACCATGAAATGGACCAACAGACAGACCAACCAACACAAAGCTGACCATTTTTTCCTGACCATTGAATAACAGCGTCAAGTTTGCACAATCTTAAAGCATTAAATGTATTTTTTATACATGTATTTCCACCTCCTCCTCCCCAAACAGCCAACCTATTTTCTCCAATTCTTTATTTTAAATTATTCAAGATAAAAAAAATGAATATTAGTGAGCAATTGTCATAAGCTACTTGTCTTGTTTACTTTCAACAAGTATGAGTACATTTATCCAAAATGTAAAGTATTTGATAATACAAAGATGTTTCATTCTCTTAAAAAATACAAAGCAGTGTAATCATTGGAGGATTGACTAAAACAGGCCTGCATTTTAATAAAATATATGATAATAATCAATGGAAAACTGGTGTTGGACAAGAAACAATAAGACAGGTAATGAAGTGGCTACATAAAAAGCAAATGCAGTAAGAGCTAATAATACTACTAATTAGAACTATGCGAGTCAGATGTGTTGCCTTGTGAACAATATAGTTTAGGAGAAATGGCCACGACAAAAATGTTTGTTTGTTTGTTTCATTTTACGCCTTTTCCCAACAGTATTTCAGTCATATAGGCGGGTAGTTTGCTAACCATCGTTCCTGGAGAGTTACACCAGTACTAGACTACCTTCCTCCGCGCTAAACTTCCAAAGCATTCCCCGGGGATCGAACCCACCCCAGACAGGTAACTGGATTAGAAGTCATCGACTCTAACCCCTCAACCACGGAGGCGGTTATGACATAAATTAAATTGAAAATCAACAAAGGGCAATAACTTAAGAAAATAAGAAATGCAGAGAAGCAGTCTCTGTGCACTGCACTTCTTATCAATAAGATCTATCATCCTATTAAGTTTCAAGTCTAAAGCTTTTGTAATTTATGAGAAATGGCCTGGACAAAAATAAAGTATGAAAATTAACAAAGGGCAATAACTAAAAAAACAAGAGCCGGTTGAACCGGGTGATGCTCCCCGAATAGGTTTTGGACACAGGAAGGTATACCTGTTGTAGTGTCAGAGTTATGTCACTGACAAAGTTCAAAGTGTAAAAAAACCCCAAATGTTGTGCATGACACATTGTCTCAATATGGTGATCATTTTTGTGAAAAAGTTGTAAAATAAAACTTCAAATAACGAAGTTATGGGCCGGACATGATTTTGCTGCAAGGTCATGCTGTGACCTTGGCCTTCAAGGTAGCAACCCAAATGCTGCATGCGACACGTGGATTTAATATGGTGATCGTCTCTGTGAAATAGTTGTTAAATCCGAGTTCAAGTAACAAAGTTATGGGCCGGACACGATTTTGCTGCAAGGTCATGCTGTGACCTTGACCTTCAAGGAAGCGACCCAAATCTTGCGCGCGACACGTCATCTCAATATGATGATCATTTCTGTGAAATATTTTTAAATCCAACTTCAAATAACGAAGTTATGGGCCGGACACGATTTTGCTGCAAGGTCATGCTGTGACCTTGACCTTCAAGGAAGCGACCCAAATGTTGCGCGAGACACAATGTCTCAATATGGTGATCATTTCTGTGAAATATTTTTTAAATCCGACTTCAAATAACGAAGTTATGGGCCGGACACGATTTTGCTGCAAGGTCATGCTGTTACCTTGACCTTTAAGGAAGCGACCCAAATGTTGCAAGTGACACGTCGTCTTAATATGGTGATTATTTCTTTGAAATTATTTTTAAAATCGGACTTCAAATGACAAAGTTATGGGCCGGACACGATTTTGCTGCAAGGTCATGCTGTGACCTTGACCTTCAAGGTAGCGACCCAAATGTTGCGCGCGACACGTTGTCTTAATATGGTGATCATTTCTGTGAAATATTTTACAATCCGACTTCAAATAATGAAGTTATGGACCAGACACGAATTTGCTGCAAGGTCATGCTGTGACCTTGACCTTCAAGGTAGGGAGCCAAATGTTGCTTGTGACACGTCGTCTCAATATGGTGATCATTTCTGTAAAATAGTTTTAAAATCCGACTTCAAATAACAAAGTTATGGGCCGGACACGAATTCGGGACGTACGTACAAACGGACTGACGGACGGACAACCCGACGACTATATGCTCCCCCGAATTTTTTTGGGGAGCTTAATAAAAATGCAGAGTACATTTTACCACCTTGTGCATCTGCACTTCTTTATAATGAGATCTATCATCCTATGAAGTTTTCAAGTCCATAGATTTCAATACTTAAGGCGAAATGGCCCGGAGAAAAAATTAAGTACGAAAATAAACAAAGGGCAATAACTTCAAAAATAAGAAGTAAGCTCATAATCAAAAATAACAATAAAGATACCCAAAATAATGGAAGAAACTGCCCTAGCTTTTACTGATTTTGCTTCTTGCTGTTTGACAAAAAAAAAATTCTACAAAATTCCCTGACTTTACCCTGACTTTTGCTTATTTTTCAAATTTCCCTGACCAATTTCAAAATTCCCCGACTTTTCCCTGCCCTTGGTAACCCTGAATAAGAGTGGCATTACATATAAACTGGAAATCAAACTATTGTCTTGATAATTATTTTTGCAGGACAATAAAGTTTTTGCTTGTTAGCTCACCTGTCCAGCCGTCTGTCCATAAACTTTTACTTTAAACGACATCTCCTCTTAAACCGCTAAGCCAATTCCATCCAAACTTCACAGGAATGTTCCTTTGGTAGTCAACTTTAAAAATTGTTCAAAGAATTTAATTAAAGGCAGAACTCTGGTTGTCATGGCAACAAGGAAACAAGAGCCACTGCCAGGTGGGGGCAATGCTTGACTTTTTACTTTCTCTAAAAGCAGACAAAGAAATGTTTGAACAAAATCTTTAAATATACTAATTTATATATATAAAACAGAAACATGCAATTCTATAAATAGAAAATACTAGAAATAGAAACACGCAATTCTATAAATAGAAACACGCACATACGTGGTGTTGACACATGGTTGTGACATGTGGTATCACATGGTGGTGTCACATTGTGTCATGTGGTGGTGATACGTGGTGGTGATATGTGGTGGTGACATGTGGTGTCACATGGTGGTGTCACGTTGTGGTGACATGTGGTGTTGTCATGTGGTGGTGACATGTGGTGTCATGTTTTTCCATGTGGTGGTGTCATGTGGAGTCACTTGGTGGAGATATGTGGTGGTGTCACGTGGTGGAGTCACGTGGTACAGTCACGTGGTGGAGTCACATGGTGGATTCTTGGGTGGAGTCACGTGGTGGAGTCATGTGGTGAAGTCATGTGCTGGTGGTGTCAAGTGCTGGCGGTGTCACATGGTGGTGACAAGGTCTTGTCCTTAAGTATGTTTTGTTATAATATGAAGTTGATCCCTTCAATAATAGCAAAGTTACAGCCAGTTACAGCAAAAACAATGAAAAGGTCAAGGTCATTAATGAGTGAAGGTCAAGGTCTGTCAGGTCATTTTTAAGTGATATCCTAGAAGATTTTTATGTTCAAGTTTGAAGACAATCCATTCAAAAATAACAAAGTTACAGACAATAATAGCCAAAAAAATTAAAATTTCAATAATTTGACCTTCAAAGTCAAGGTCATTTATGAGTGAAGGTCAAGGTCTGTCGAGTTATTTTTAAGGGATATCCTTGAAGATTATTATGTTCAAGTTTGAAGACAATCCATTCAAAAATAACAAAGTTACAGAAACTAGAAATTTGTCCATAGGACACGAATGCCCCCACATGCCACTGTTCTGTCAATCTTATGACTCTAGGTCAAATATTTTTTGGACTACATGTGCCTGAAGTTGAAAACTAAAAATCAACAAAGGGCCATAATTCTGTTAAATTTGGTCGCAGAAAAAAATTCCTTCCTTTACTACCATCTACACTTTAAGGTTGTTCATCCCTGGAAGTTTAAGTAAAATCTGCCATCTGGTTTAAGAGGAGTTGCGTTCACAAAATTTCTACATAGTATATAGTGAAAAAATCAACAAAGGGCCATAATTCTCTTAAATTTGGTCGCAGCAAAAATTCCTTCCTTTACTACCATCTACACATTAAGGTTGTTCATCCCTGGAAGTTTAAGCAAAATCTGCCATCCGGTTTAAGAAGAGTTGCATTCACAAAATTTCTACATAGTATATAGTGAAAAAAATCAACAAAGGGCCATAATTCTGTTAAATTTGGTCTCAGCAAGCATTCCTCCCTTTACTAGCATCTACACATTAAGGTTGTTCATCCCTGGAAGTTTTATCAAAATCTGCCATCCGGTTTAAGAAGAGTTGCATTCACAAAATTTCTACATAGCATACAGTGAAACAAGAGAAGGTTGAACCGGGTGATGCTCCCAGAATAGGTTTTGGACACAGGAAGGTTTATCTCTTGTAGTGTCAGAGTTGTGTCACAGACACAGTTCAAAGTGTAAAAATAACCCAAATGTTGTGCACGACAAATTGTCTCAATATGGTGATCATTTTTGTGAAATAGTTGTAAAATCCAACTTCAAACAAGATATGTTTGTAAAACATGTATGCCCCCTTTTGTAAAACATGTATGCCCCCTATCGGCAGCCAATTAGTCATGTGATCAGGTTATTATGCATGACTTCTGACCCAGTGAACAAACAATCAATAAGGGTTATCTAGTATCAACTGGTCATGACTAGTCACAAGGTAATAATTATTGTGACCCCATAGGTTGTGTGCAGCAATTTAAGTTATTATAAATCTTACCAAATAATATATGCATAAATTTTATGAATCATGTAGGCCTCATTAATGACAGCCAAGTTGTTATATTACATAAGACCTTCAAATGTGTATACCAAAAGCATTTTTAGTTTAATATAAAAATATCAACCAAGGCAATTTGTGTTGTTGAGTTATTGGTCAGAAACCGTCATTAAGTACAAGGTCAATATGACATTGACCTCTTGACCCCAAAATCAATAAGGGTCATCTACTGGTCATGACCAATCATCATACCAAGTTTGAAGTTCCTAGGCGAAAGCGTTCTTTAGTTATTGATCGGAAACCGTTTTAACCTACAAGGTCAATGTGACCTTGACCTTGGACCCCTTGACTCCAAAATCAATAAGGGTCATCGGCTGACCATGACCAATCATCATACCAAGTTTGAAGTTTCTAGGCCTAAGCGTTCTTTAGTTATTGATTGGAAACCGTTTTTACCTACAAGGTCAATGTGACCTTGACCTTTGACTCCTTGACCCAAAAATCAATAGGAGTCATCTGCTGGTCATGACCAATCACCATACCAAGTTTGAAGTTTCTAGGCTTAAGCGTTCTTTAGTTATTTATTGGAAACCGTTTTAACCTACAAGGTCAATGTGACCTTGACCTTTGACCCCTTGACCCCAAAATCAATAGGGGTGATCTGCTGGTCATGACAAATCACCATACCAAGTTTGAAGTTCCTAGGCCTAAGCGTTTTTTAGTTATTGATCGGAAACCGTTTTTACCTACAAGGTCAATGTGACCTTGACCTTTGACCCCATAATCAATAGGGGTCATCTACTGATCATGACCAATCACAATATCAAGTTTGAAGTCCCTAGGCCTAAGGGTTCTTTAGTTATTCAGATCTGAAACCGTTTTTACCTACAAGGTCAATGTGACCTTGACCTTTGACCCCTTAACCCCAAAATCAATAGGGGTCATTTGCTGGTCATGACCAATCACCATACCAAGTTTGAAGTTCCTAGGCCTAAGGGTTCTTTAGTTATTGATCGGAAACCGTTTTTACCTACAAGGTCAATGTGACCTTGACCTTTGACCCCTTAACCCCAAAATCAATAGGGGTCATCTACTGATCATGACCAATCACCATACCAAGTTTGAAGTTCCTAGGCCTAAGGGTTCTTTAGTTATTGATCGGAAACCGTTTCTGCTTACAAGGTCAATGACTCAATGTGACCTTGACCTTTGACCCCTTGACCCCAAAATCAATAGGGGTCATCTACTGGTCATGACCAATCACCATACCAAGTTTGAAGTTCCTAGGCCTAAGGGTTCTTTAGTTATCACTCGGAAACCATTTGGTCTACGGACCGACGGACCGACAAGTGCAAAGCAATATACCCCCTCTTCTTCGAAGTGGGGGCATAATAACGAAGTTATGATTTTGCTGCAAGGTCAAGCTGTGACTTTGACCTTCAAGGTAGCAACCCAAATGTTGCATGCTACACATGGATTTAATATGGTGATCATCTCTGTGAAATAGTTGTTAAATCCGACTTCAAGTAACGAAGTTATGGGCCTGACACGATTTTGCTGCAAGGTCATGCCGTGACCTTGACCTTCAAGGTGGCGACCCAATGTTGTGCATGACACGTCATCTCAATATAATGATCATTTCTGTGAAATATTTTTAAAATCGGACTTTAAATAACGAAGTTATAGACCGGACACGATTTTGCTGCAAGGTCATGCTGTGACCTTGACCTTCAAGGTAGCGAGATAAATGTTGCGCGCGACACGTCGTCTCAATATGGTGATCATTTCTGTGAAAAAGTTTTAAAATCCGACTTCAAATAACAAAGTTAAGGGCCGGACACGAATTCGGGACGTACGTACGGACGGACGGAAGGACCAGGTTTTTTTTTTTACTAACAAATTGACACCGATAGTCGGCGTCTTCCCCTCGGTAAATAGCCAAGTTTTTTCCCCAAAAAAATTCTATTTTTCCTTTAAACTAAATCAGATTTAATATTTACATGGTTTAAAATATTAATTTTCTCCATTTTATCCAGGATAAACCAACAATTGTAGTCCAAAACACCAAAAACATTGCAGGAAACTTCAAGTACTGTCTCAACATGGAGGCAGCCATTTTTTTTTCTTGGCTATATCCCATACTAAACGGTACTTTTTCTGGAAATGAGTTGCTATCAAAATATTGTCATTTTCTTGGTTATTTTTAGAAAAATAATATATTTTGTATTTCTTATTTTGAAAATGACTTGTATGGAGCTAAAGTGTGTCACAGATACACTATTATACCTATACTATATTAAATTTCATACAAAAATGGAAGTATAAAAACCATTCACCACCATACATATTAAGGAAATATGTTATACTGCAAAGAATATTTTGCATGATGATAAAGTTTTTAAGGGGAAAAAGATAATAGTCTTCCCCTTTTCCTAAAAAAAACCCCTGCGGACGGACAACCCAACGACTATATGCTCCCCCGAAATTTTTCGGGGAGCATAAAAATCAACAAAGAGCCATAATTCTGTTAAATTTGATCGCAGCAAAAATTCCTCCCTTTACTACCATCTACACATTAAAGGAATAGGAATGGATGGATTGATGTCTGTCTAATATAAATATTCACTATTTAAAAAGAGGTACCATGGCAGTTTTTCTGTTGACATCAACCCTATAAGTGAGAAATTCGTGTTTCAAGACACTACTTTTTACTTGAGAAATAAGTTCATGGGTGCCGCCATTTTGACGTTCTGTCATTCTCGCGAGACAGACGAGACCGAGATTGTGACGTGTTACACCCACTTCCGGTATAGGTGTACACGCTGGTACAACTGAAATATATCTCGATGAAGAACTTATTAATCTTTTTGTGTACATTATATATTATTTATGAAAACATCATATGGAATTGAATTGTTTTAATTAATTAATAGAAGACGCCGCGACATTAATTATCATTTGTCCGATTTTCAAGCTTGCTGATGATCCCACCACATGATTTAAGCAATTATTGCTTAATTTACAAGGATAAACCATCAATTTAATTTGGGTACTATGAGAAACTTCTTCAAATTGACGATATATCCTTTTATTTTGTACTTAATTTTCGCTAGACAAGCTTTCCGAATAGGGTACATCGCCGGTCATGTATCTTTTTTTCAGCGTAAAATATCAACTAAATCCAATATGCAGAGATCTGCTGAGGAGTGAGGACGCGATTTTCCGCCATTGACGCTAAAAATGAGAATGGCGCAGGAAAATCGGCAGCCAGACTAATACCGTATGCAAGCAAAACCGTCCGTTAGGTTATTTAGGCACCCAGTCAAAACTGGTACCAACAGCAACAGGTTGCCCATTCCCCTGTAATTAAGCATATTCTCGGGTTAATCCAGTTTCCACGTTATCTACTTACCCAATCCCTTTCCCACACAGATACGCATTTCTACGACCGTAAATTTAATCCAGTTAAACAAAAAATCATAAATCTACTTAATATTTAAAATGATTATTGGTAACTGAAAAAAAAATGTGTTGCTATTTTATGACATGCTGTAATTTACAGTATAATTTGACAGGTGTGGAACTAAATTTCCCCCAAGGTCATTCGGTTCACTGATGAAGCGTAAAAAAATCGTCATCAGAATATTTGACAAGGGTGATTAACCAATCAGGGCAACATTGTGCATGATCAAAAGGTCTGTCGGCACAGAGGCATACAAGGGGCAATAAAAATCGTCAGTACACAGTGTGACAGGAACATTTGGTGCAAATTAGGAACAATTAAAATGGACAATGCACAGTATTAGACATAAGTATTAAGAACCAGCAATTGTGTGAATAAATTATGCAAATTAGATTTTTGAGCAGCCAATAAAAGTGTTTTGCCTGCAGTTAATATTAGGCTACGATTACGATGCGCAGCATCATACGTTGACAGACATGTTTACAATTTTCTTTTCAAAAGAGTTGCTTATATTTTTGAAATGTGTACATCAATTATAACATATGTTCACACCTTTTAATTTGAAAGTCAGAATCAAACTGCAAAAATTTAATTACACGTACTATTTAGTAGGATTTTTATAATAATGATAATTATCGCCGTTCAATAATTAACAGCCAATTATTCGTTGGTGCGTTTGTTTATTAAATTGCATTATTTGATTGTGAAACTTTGTTAAATAATAACATGTGTATTTATTAAATCTGTGAAATATTGATTAATTACATTAAGATGAGACTTTAATGAACATGGCATTGTTTGGAGTTACGGGCATCACTGGCCTGAGGTGGTGCGACCGGTAGACGTTGATTTTTTTGTTTCTTTACTTTTTTTTTCTTTTTTTTGGATATTGTTACGTATTTTGAACCATAAAAAATCTCCTCTACACCTCCTGTGAAAATTAAATTGTCTGATCAATACTTTATTATATTAATATTTCCCTACGATTCAACTAGATTTATCATAAAACTAAAGATGTGGGGAAATGACATCACGCGCACCTGTTTTTAAACGGTCAATACACAAACATGGCCGCGCTTACTGATTTGTAGAAAAGGGTGATTTAGCGATTTAAATTTTGTTATCATTCGTTTAATATTCTTATTTGGCGGCAGAAAATTTGCAGATTTATTATTTATAGTATTCTTTTTCTGAAATCAAGTTTTTATTCTAACCTTGTCTTTCCCTTTAAGGTTGTTCATCCCTGGAAGTTTAAGCAAAATCTGCCATCCGGTTTAAGAGGAGTAACTGTTGAGTTCACAAGATTTCGGGACGTACGGACAGACGGACGTACAAGTGCAATGCCATATGCTCCCACTCTGTAGGGGCATAAAAATTAAAATTTCAATAATTTGACCTTCAAAGTCAAGGTCATTTATGAGTGAAGGTCAAGGTCTGTCGGGTTATTCTTAAGGGATATCCTTGAAGATTATTATGTGCAAGTTGAAGACAATCCATTCAACAAGAGCGATCAGTAATCACATGTGTCACCTCATGATGGCCAATTTCATGTTGGGACAAATTTTGTGACAGACGGACAGTGCACAACTAGACTTGGTACTGATCATTCCTGTAAAGTTTGGATAAAATTGCACCAGTAGTTTATGAGGAGTAGTCCGGACAAGCTTTTGCGTATCTGGCAACACACAGAAAAAAAACACATTTTTATCAAAGGGCCATAACTCGGCCAAAAATCATTCAACCGGAAAACCCGTGCAATATGCGCAAGGACTTGAGCTACAGATCAATCCTGTGAAGTTTCATTGAAATTGCATTAGTGGTACAAGAGAAGTAGTCCGGACAAACTTTAAAAATAAAAATTATCAAAGGGCCATAACTCAAACAAAAATCATTGAACCGGAAAATGCTAACAATATGCACAACTAGACTTGGTATTGATAATTCCTGTAAAGTTTGGATGAAATTGCACCAGTAGTTTATGAGGAGTAGTCCGGACAAGCTTTTGTGTATCTGGCAACACACATAAAAAGAAACCATTTTATCAAAGGGCCATAACTCGGCCAAAAATCATTCAACCGGGAAACCCGTGCAATATGCGCAAGGACTTGAGCTACAGATCAATCCTGTAAAGTTTCATTGAAATTGCATTAGTGGTATAAGAGAAGTGGTCCGGACAAACTTTAAAATTAAAAATTATTAAAGGGCCATAACTCTGACAAAAATCATTGAACCGGAAAATGCTGACAATATGCACAACTAGACTTGGTACTGATCATTCCTGTAAAGTTTGGATGAAATTGCACCAGTAGTTTATGAGGAGTAGTCCGGACAAGTTTTGTGACGGACGGACGGACAGACAGACAGACGGACAGACAGACGACGGAGAAGTGATCCCTATATGTCGCCACTACGAAGTGATCCCTATATGTTGCCACTACTCCGTAGAGGCGACACAAAAATGTGCATGCACAATATTTCCTCTTAAATAAAACTATGGAAAGCCACAGCTGCCATTAACATAATATCCTTATAGCTGTACTTACAAGGTTCTGTCAAAATATCAACATATAGTGGTGTGAAAGAAAGAGGTTATTATACATGTATATTGTTTAGAGCAATACCAATACTATAAGACTCATACACAGCTGCAAAACTTGTACTAAACCTTTTTTTTTAATGCGTTTATTTAAGGTTGCCGACGGAAAGCCCATATGGGGGACCATACACTCAAGTCGGGCCATCCTAGAGCGTCCCGCCGAGATTTTTTTCCAGCTTTTAATTGGTGGAGGAAGACCCCAAGTGCCCCTCCGGGCATTATTTCAGGCACAAGCAGGCACCTGGGTAGAACCACCGACCTTTCGTAAGCCAGCTGGATGACTTCCTCACATGAAAGATTTCGACCAGAGTGAGGATCGAACCTACAGCGGTGAGGGACCTGTGATCTCAAGTCAGCGACCTTAACCACTCGGCCATGGAGGCCCCTATTGTACTAGACCTGGCTTGCATATTGCCTTATATAGTTTAGACACATGTGAACACGTCCAATTCAGTATTGTACTCAACAATGTGTAAAATACTTTCAGTAAAGAAATGTGCAAAACAATATTCTCCCCCTTTTTCAGAGAAAAAAAATATAATAAAAATCTGTATGCATTTTAAACATCCAAATATAAACAGTTTTTACTTACATCAAATACACATCCTACTTCTGTATCTGGTGATGGTGAAAATGACTGATTTACATATAGGAACTGAAATATATAATATTTACAGCAATGACTGATTTACATATAGGAACTGAAATATATAATATTTACAGCAATGACTGATTTACATATAGGAACTGAAATATATAATATTTACAGCAATGACTGATTTACATAAAGGAACTGAAATATATAATATTTACAGAAATAAATGAACACATAAGTACTTTAATTATTGATGCTAGAATACTTCCTTGTCAACACATTTCCTGATGATTGATATTATTATTAATGTTTTAATTCCAAATTGACGACCAAATGACCGATTCAATCAAAACACATGGACAAAATTGAAATGAAATATAAATTTCTATAAATCCTATAAAATATGTGCATTTCATGGATATAAACACAAAACCAATTCTGAAATTGTTGGAACC